TAACTTTGGTTAAATTATACGTTCGTTTCTTAGTTTCTGATTTCAAATAAACACATTTAATTCGGTGTATTTGAGTTTGTTACCACTTCATGCATACATTCAATACAGTGTGCCGCAAAATAAGGTGAGCCATGCTTTTGTTTTGCTTAATGAAAATGGATGGATCTTAATTTCGTTTTTTTTTTGTTAAATATATTTTTGAATTTATAGATTCAAAATCTTTGAACATTTTTTAGTTTAGATTTTCATTAAATTTTCAAAATTACATAACCAAAAAAATCGCCAAAATTAACAGGAATGAAATTGAAATCCACCGGTCTGGACTTGCTTAAGACAAATTATGATATTTAGCTGAAATTATGAATTTTGGCACTATGCGATCGTCTGATATGTTGCCTCGTTTAGGATTTTATTATGAAATTTCTTTGAACACAATTAATGAAATGTCATATTTGGTAAGAGTTATAAAATACATTTCCAGAAATATTAAAGACATTTTGTTGAATAATTTATTAAATGGTCAACGATCGTTTAAATTTGAACTAGTTTGAAGTATCTGAATTCATTTTGAGATACCCTGTATTTAGTAGTTGTTGATGTTATTGTTGTTATTGTTGTTATTATTATAGTAAAATATCCTCGTTGGTGATGTTTTGGTTAAATTCAATAAATTTGAAATTGAGTCATCATCGGAACATTTATTCATTTACATGAGTTTCCATAAATGATTGAAATTGATCATTGATCTGTCCAATGCAGTTGCACATATATCTTAATGCATACCGATGAGATGAAAAGGCATACAAACTACTTCATATTCAGAATACCGCATATAACGCTGCCATGGCGGCATTGAAAGATGCATATTTGACATCTTGCATATTTTATACAAATATGTACATATCACGGATCGTGTCGAAACCTAATGCGATTGAGCAAAGTACAACGAGTTGCGATATGTCTTTCTTTGACTCTGCATATAATAAAAATGAAGTATATGCGTGTATGCCCAAAATTTAATCAACGAAATTGAAGCATATGCAAATCGGAATGGCTGAGCGTTTGTTCACAAAACTCAGCCTTATCAACATGAATCGTCAAAAACGTGCGTTCGAAAAGGGACAACGCATATCAACTCTTAGTGATGTTAGCACTAACATTTTTTTCCTTCTTCATTGACAACTTTCTGGAGGATAAATGCAAACTGTGAAACAGTGTTGGGTGTCTCTGTTTCTCCGAATGTGCATTTGAATGTATGCGTACGCAATTTTTTTGTGAATTCACTTTTCGCTGTGTATGGATTTTTTTGCGTCGCATTTTGGCACGACAAACAGAGTGCACATGTGGCACGTTTTTATGCATTCAACACATCGTGTGCAATGCAAGACGAATGTCAAATCCAATCCATTCCAATCCAAAACCAAAACATTTTGAGATAACATGACAATTTAAAAGTTTGCACCGAGCGTATCTCAGTCTTTCTGCTTGGTTGGCCAGCTGCTTGGAACATAAAACGAACGGACTAATATCAATCATCTAACAACAAAAACAGACGAAGCAATACGGTAGAAATGTTCAAGACCTTGGAAATTTCTTAAAACTCCCCGAAAATTGAAATGTTCCAAGAAGAAGAACATATGTATATGAATAATGGCGATCATCAACAACGAGATATTTTATGATATATCTGAAAGTGACCCTTTCTCCACACATACCAAATGCGGATAAAATCTTTTATACGGTTTCACATTATTGAAGCTAATGTATTCAAATTAAAAGCAGACAATTACATTTTGGGCACAGACAGGCACACTCACCGACAACGGAGACCGAGTGAAGGCTGAATGAGAGGAACTGTTCGCGCATATACAAATGCAAATGACGCATTTGATTGAACGCAATTAATGCAATTAGGCTTACAATCTATACAGTACAACTATGCCGTATTCCGTTTGCCTTTAGTCAAAGATATTGCGTTCGCCAACATATAGAATGCGATTAACATTGCCGGCCACATATACAAAATGGACATGAACGCATACAATGCAATATAATCGCCATACAATGCAAATATTGCATTTTTGTATTATGCAAGCGCATTTGTGTGCGTGTTTAAATACAAAACGTACTTCAGAAAATTCAATACACCAAAGCCCATACACACTCTATATTCATTTCGAGTTCAATGAAGAAAAAAAAAACCAACAACAACAACATTCAAACAAAACGAGTCAAATGGGCAAACTTAATTCTTTTTCGTTTTGTTTCGAGATATTGCGCGCAATTTAACGCTTTATTTTCTATTTTAGAAGAGAAAGAAAGGATGTGAAAAGTGCGTGTTCTGTTGTCGACACTGAAATCTGTTTATGGAATTTCTGTTTTTTTTTATCCATATTTTGTCATTAAACAGCAAATAATGATAATAATAGTGTGCGATATTGTGTCTCCTGTTAAATGAATATAATTATATTTTTCTATACATTCTCTCAATCAATATTCACTCTTTGACATTAGTTCGGAGAATGGTGGCGCACAAATTTAAAATGACTTTGTGCGAAATGTGAAAATGTACAATAAAAAATCGTTAAAAGTTTAAATGGAAAAGTAATAATACAGACAGACACAAATAACCAAGATAAACAAGTAAATAAATGAATCCACAAAATGGGAGCGTCACGAATCAAGTTTTTTTTTCCTTCTTCTCTGCCATGTTCTGATGCTTCCACATGCATCTATATCATATTTGTATATTTGCAATATCACCGCTTTTTTTCTTCATCGGTACATGTAGTTTTTGTTGTTGCATTTGTATGATACTGATAATATCGGCTAGCACACAAACTTGATATTAACTTGAACGGGTTTTACACGTGTACTTGAGTATATATGTATACAACATAGTATATTGCACCGAGTGCATGGCTGCATGCAAACATTCTTCTGTCATGTCTTGTAATCAGTGCTTTTGGTTGTCGCGTCTCATATGTACGCACTCGACCATATATAATATAGAGGAAAAAAAGAGAAATACTGATCGTCGTCGCGAGTACGAAAATCATGTACGGCGAACTGTCAAATGAAATGAACAACAAACGTTCTAAGCTGGACTAACTGGTCTTGGCTAAGTATCCATATTTAAAGCAAAAACATCAAATTGCTAATGATACACACGTAATGAATGGACGATTGGCTGTATATTAGTTTTGACGACGGTGTCATTTATTTTGTCTGTCGTTCATATGGAAAATATTGAAAGCCCATTCTATAATTGTTTCATTGGCATAAACAGAAGTTAAATTAAACTTTTAACAAGTATTTCTTATTGGAGATAACAAACAATTGCAAAAGGTATAGCAAGAATTCGATTGTGATTCTCATACGCATGTCGCAGCATCAGACAAACAGAATACACGTTAACAATACAGACATTACAGTCCGACTTCTTTTTTCTTTCGTTTTTTTTTTATGGTTGTTGTTGGTTTTTTTTGCTAACAATTTTAGTTATTCATTCGGCATACATGGCTATTCTATGTGTGTCTGTCTCGCCTAGTATCGCTTTTGCCATGTCTGATTGCCTTTCAGCAGAACCGTGAAACGTTCGGAAAATATCTTTAGAACATTCAAATCGAATGAGAACCAGCAAACAGAGTACGTGTACAGTTTAACCGAAGTAACGTCATCAAATCGATCATACAAGTTGAAGTAGAGAGAGAATCGTTCAAATGGTATGTTATAACTGCCGCTAAAGATTTCTTATTGTATATTTTCCATTCGTAGAGTTACACATTCATAGACACCGTGAATGGAGAAAAGGTTTCCCTCTGCCATATCGTTATGCAGCTCGTATGACGACACAGACACTCTCTTTCTTTTCCTTTTTCTCCCTCTCTCTCTTTCTTTCTGTCTCTTCGTTTCTCTCTTTTCTCTATCGCTCTTTCTCTTTTTCACATTGTGTGTAGTCGTACGTGCGAGTAGACGCAGAGATGGTTGTTCAATTATTTAATACCATCTAATTGGCATTTCTGCGAAACGCCGCATTCAATTGCATGAATTCGCAACAGATGCGGTGTTTCGGGTGCGAGCTTAGTCCATCACTGAGAATGTGCGTGAATTGTGTGTGCGACTATAAGCGGTAAAGAGCCGCGATCCGTGTGTATGGACGAATGTGTGAGTGTTCCGTTCTACATGGTTTGCATATACACCGGACTATGATACACATGAAAACATTACGGTTGAATTCCAATCAACTTGCTTTCGTTTTGGCACACGAATTTGCCGCTATCGAATAACGCTTCCGAAAAATTTAATGTCAACTATATATTTTGCTGAAAATTGTCTATTGGACGAAATGTCTCAACAAAAGACAAGTATATATATTTTTCTTTTATCAAAATGTTATTCACAAAAGTATTTGATCAAAATTCTGTCAATGATTAATTTCAACTTGGTCTTGTTTTGTCGATCGTTTATGTTTAAATCGTCTCACCAACGGTGTCGGTGTGCTGTGTTGTTGTTATTGCCGTCGTTCAGAGCCGCTGACATGGCACTCGTTCGTGTATTAGTCGTCGGTAACATGGCATCGTCTATGTGTATGTGAGCGCGTTTGTGTGACGTTTTTTTTTTGTTTTTTTTTTCCTCCTTTTATTCGTATGCCGCACATGTGTGTAATTGTGCTTACTGAGTGCTGAACTGGGTTGGTGATATAAAATATCTTTAAGGCAATCATTTAATCAACGAACATGTCTATAACATAAAATAAACTTCACACCAGTAAATGAATTTGGTTCAACATCTGAATGGAAGGTCCATTGATGAGCTTTTAAAATGTTATGTGTGTTGAATAGTAGAAGCGAAGCTTAACGGTTTCAGTGAAAATCATTTGAAACGCTAAAGATTTTTTTTATTCCGTTGAATATGACGACATGACGGCAATGTCGACTGTCGACTGTCGATGTTGGTGGTGCAGAGTAGTAAGTTGAATTCTGTCGTTCGGAGTCATCGTCATCGTTTCGTTAACATCGCGCGCGCTGTAAATTTTCCTTTTTTTAGTTCGTTTCACAAAATGTTCTCGTTATTATGTTGTCGCGACGAATAGATGATTTTATTTAAAAATCGAACAATTTTTTTGTCCTGAAATTAAAAAGGCCATTTCAATTTTGTTTTATTTTGTGTTTGACATATAACACATCGAACGATTGAGCAAACAAATTAATATTTTGATGTATATTCCAAATGAAAAAAAAAAATTTAATTGAACACGAAAACAGCCGATAAATAGAATAAAAAGAAGAACGAGAGAAAACAGTGACCTTTCCGAGAAAATAAAAAGAGAAAAAGACAGAGAGGAAACGAAAGGAGAGAAAAAAAAGTAAAGAAAATTTTAATGTTACTAAAGAATAGAACAAATAATTTTTTTCGCCAGAAAACAAATAAACAAGTCAAATATACGTATATAAGTAAAGTAAAAAAGGTGCATCTATATTTTGGCGAGACAGTAAAGTGTGAGAAAGAAATATATACATTGTGACACATACGAGAGGGAGATATATATATATTATTCAATTGAAAGTCTGAATACTATGGGAATGAGCGTCTGAAGTGGAAAATGAAATGCGAATTATTGGCAGAGGAAAAAAAAAATTCCGATTGTGCTCCGGTTTTGTGCATCTAATTCTATAATCATTATCAACAGCCGATAAGACTGTTCAACAAAATTTGGGCCGACTCAAGTAATTTGAAAAATCCTTTATCGTGCGGCAAAAGTGAGAAAGAGATAGAGAGAGCGTAGCATAGAGATAGTACGAACGAAACGGATAGAGAAAAAATATTTAAGATTTGCTTTCTTTTTTATTCATTTTCGAGAAAAATAAGACTGAGAAGCAAAAAAAAAACAACAACAAGAAAGCAAAACCTAGCCGGGGCAAACACGTAAAAATGAATAAGCAATGAAATGAGAAACAACAACACAACAAGCAAAAAAACCAACGAAACTATTCCGCAAAAAGTATTTGTGGTGTTCTGTTGATGTCGCACTGTCATTCTAATACAAAGTAAATCATATACACACGCACATACGTGCCGCAGTTGTTTTGAATGAGCGCTTCGACGAGCAAAGTGTGTAATTATTGTGATAGAAAAATTGCAAACTTTTTTTTTGCATAAAATCAAAAAAAAATTTATATCAAATAAACGAAAAGAAAAACAAACGAAGAAAAATTCACATAAACTTAAACTCTATGTGTTTTTCGATTTCTCAATAAAAAAACTTCTCAGCCTAAGCCAAGGCATCGGTGACGAGCACATAAAACAGTGTGGTTGTGTGATATGCTGTTGTTGTCATACTTTCTTTTGATTCGGTTCATTTTAGTTAGAGCAACACTCTCTCGGCTGCTCATTCAATGCACAAAAACAACTTTATCAACTGAAGAAAAAGTAAGTGCCAAGCAAACAAACAAACAAAACAAGAAACAAAAAATACTCCACATTTTCTCTATCTCCATATCTCTTTCTCTCTCTATCTCTATCTCTCTGTACAGAAATGAAAATAATATCATTAAATAAATAAATTATTAATTGAATAAAAACGATGAGCCCAAGTTGCATGCGGCCAAGAGAGATTTTGGTGGAAGCATTCGCGAGAAAGGAAGACGTTTAGTGAAACTCGTTTAAAGTATAATAATAACACGCGCCGACTGTGAACGCATAAACATGCGTTCAAAATCATGAACATAAGTGTGAGAGCTAAGAATATTATTTATACTTTTTTGGTTAACATAAATATGAATTTCCTTCAATTCAGTCGCTGTGCTCAAGTTGATCTCTTATCAAAAACCATCGCGAAAATTTTCAATGAAACGAATTTTCTTACAAATTGACAAACGTCTCTCTCTTTCTCTATTTCGCTTTCTCACCAAAATACCAAAAAGCTTCGAATTTTCAATTCGATTAAAAAGCTATTTTGAATGGTACAAAACATTTGCATATCAAGTCACATACATGTTTTTTTTAATTGAGAATAAATAGGGCCAATTTATTCGTTAAAACAATTTTAGCATTACGAACGTGGCTCGTCATTTGGGCAACTTTTGTTTCTGTATGGCTAATCGATATTGGATACAATGCTGTTTTTTTTTTCAAGGAACATCGGCCATTCATAAAGTATTTAGAGATTTTTCATTAATTTTATTTTTTTGGTTCAAGTATGCATAACTGAGCGATGATTTCAACCAATTAGAAAAACACATGCCAAACCATAATAATGAGAGAATTAAGATTTCAACGCATGAATATAATAAGAGTCGATGAGTTGAAATAGTCCGCGACATAAAAAAAACCTGTACACTTTATTTATAAACATTTCATTTTTTTTGCCTCAACAAAAGAAGCGACAAAAAAACAACTGCTTTGAATTTTGCCATGACCGGTAGCTCGAAAATTTACCGTAACCATATTGAAAACCAAAATTGAAAGAAAAAAAGGCGAACAAACGAGTATACGCAAGCGGCTAAATGAAACAACGTCAGCTCAAAGGCATACACAAACACACAAAACTCACTTCAAAGCGTGTTTTGCTTGCTTTCGATTTTTTTTGTTTTGACGTTTTTTTTTGCCTTTCCGATTTGATTTCATAGCGCTTTTGATGGCTAGCATATGTAGAATTTTATGCGCGTGTTTGTGACGTATGCACGGCTACTTGTCTGATTCCACGTTATGAAAACTTTGTATCACAAAAAAGATATGATGACGATTGTGCATACACGAAAAATAGAAGATTTTTGATTTGTGATCAATTTTGTAATATGACATGGTTCACACTTACAAGTAGTTCATGTTTCATTCGCATTTCGTCTTCGTCTTCAGCCCTAGGGTTTTTTTTTATTGTGGACTTTAAAGTCTGTCACGGCAAAACAAAAAGAAAAATACCTTTATTCCAATTCGAAACGAAATCTACGTTCATAATACCGAATATTCTTGTATTTATTGCGAACCACGTCGAAAGAAATGAACGGAAAAGCATCTGAATGATTTGCCATAGCTTCCGTTTTACTATGGTTTCATATATAACAAAAAAGTTTGCTACAAATCGACGGATTGCTCAATCTGTCTACCGTTTCGTATTGATTAATGGCCAATTTGACACAATTTTGTTAAGCTAAGCAAATATTCCAATATTTTTACATTAATATTTGAACCTTATAGACGTAACAAAAAAAGAAATACACAAGCGGAAGGAGAAGTAGAAAAAAACGAAAATTTGCTGATTTTCATTTTCCCAGTTTGTCGAGTGTAGAGTGCCTTAGGCGAGCGTGTATGAGTGCGTTATATATTGTGTTCAATGTATATGCACACATGCATGTTCGCCGTACGTTTGTATTAATTAATCTATTATTCTCGTATCATTATCAATTAATATTTATTTCATTTTGTTCTATGTCGAGTGTATTTATTTAATAAATAATTTATTCATTGCATATGCGCCTACAATATAATGTCTACGGTAATTGCTTTGGAGAGCAAGAAATAACGAGTCATAAAAAATCGAAAAAAAAAACTGAAGAGAGAAAAAAAATGGAGAGACGTAAGTAAGAGAAGAAAAAAACAGCGGAGAGCTGTGCTGCATTGAGCAATGCAACGAAGAGCAATGAAACACATTCACATACAAAAAAAAGAAAAGAAAATAAAACAAGAAATAATATATACACTGAACCCTGTTGTGTATTGACCTTAAAATTTTTTATTTATTATTATCTCACCTGAGTAAGATAGTTGCGAACAAGGACCGCAGTCCCCTTTACTCAGTTTTAATCGTCAATTCGTGGTAGAATTCCACTTACAATTGCGCCTTTCAGTGACTTATAATGGTGAGACCAAATTCAATATATACGCGCACTGAAATTAATAAATTCCAAAGTCTACCAGCGAATCATAATTTTTGCCAAAATGCAAAATGTTTCCGATATCATTATACAATTCTCATTATGCTCTTTCGATCGTATAAAAGACATGAATATATGTACAGCATCATCAACTAAAACACACACACACACACATATATCGATTCGCTTTTTTTTTGTAACTCATGTCCAGTATAAGAAAGAAAGAAACAAGGAATCAAACAAACGAATGCAATGTGTAAGTTTGAATGTATGCTGAAAATGTTGAATTATTACCACCAAACAAAAAACAACCACACCGATTCAACGATGGCAATGATTGTCACAATGTTGTTGTCACTGTGAATCTTTTATTTTATAGGCGAATTGGAATACTGTCTCTCAACTGAAAAGTTTAAAGTCTATTTTAAGCGTTTCAAAGTAGGTGTTTCTAACGTGTATCTCTTTCTCTTTTGCTCGCTCAGTCTTTCGCACATTATGTATATAATTCGATTGCGAAAACTTGCAAAAGTTCTACACACGATTTTGCAAATGTTATTATTTCAATTTAGCTCGAAGACGCGAGTGCCGTCATCTTCTTGTATTTAATTAAAATGTGTGGCGCGGTTTGTTGTTCGCTGTTGCTGATAACGAGAAAAGAAATAGTCAAGCAAGCACGAAACCAATTTAAATGTCTCTCTCATCGCAAAGATCAAATGCACTCGGAACAAATGAACGAATAAAAGTACGAGATGAAGAGACCAACACAGAGAGAGAGAGAGGGAGCAGAGGTAGAAAGAGAAAAAAAGTTGGAGATACTCTCGGCGAGAAATAAATCTGAATGAGCATGATTCAAAAAAAAAAGCACTGTCTGATGCACTGCATTTCAAATGTATGAAATTCAAGTGGTACATTAGAGACGGTTTACGTCTTGCAGTTCATTATTAAGTGCATGCTGCACCGACCAACAAACATATACATACACACCGACATATATGAATCTTCATTTTATTTCTCTTCTTTCATCATCATCTTGAGTTAGTCGACTTGGGTTAGATGTATCTCGGTGTATCTGCAAATTAAAAGGGGTTCGAGGCTTAATGTCTGCTATATTTTCTGACCATCCGACAACAGAGCAAATAAATACGACAGATACGGTCGACTCACACTTTATATATATTATAAATGAAGAAGAGGAAATGTTGTAAATGCACAACAAAGTGAGATAACATGTGCAACAACAAGTTGTTGATCCAAACCATTCCAGTTTTGGTCGTTGCAAGTTTCAACATAGTATACAATTTCAAGCGAAAAGAACAAAATCAAAATTTTACATGAATTATAAGCATATGGCCAACAGCGACCACTAAACATTTTCTTATACACGACGTCGTCATGATCGTCCAAAACAACGCTACATTCTGCACACCAACGAACATCACACACCGCTGAAACAAGGAATATTGTTGATGATTCAAAGATAAAACTCTGACTAAAGATGATACGCGCACAATTCAATTTGAATTTTCCATTTATTTTTTGTTGTTGTTGTTGTTCTATGTCTCTCTTCGTATACATATTTTATTTATATTCTCTGTTGCAAATCATCTTCTCGATATGAAATGTGTATTGAACACGTCGTAATCACAAAAAGTCATTTTAACCTCTCAACGGCAACCAACCAGAATGAATCAAATGAAAAGAAGGAAGAAAAAAAAATGCAACACAAATTGTTGTATATCATGATTGATATCTTCAGGCATATATGAATCTCGTTCAGTTTTTCGGTATCAGGCTATCGAATTAAAAAAAAAAACGTTTTTAATTGCATAATTTTCTGTTATTTCAAGAAGTAATTTAGAAAAAGAAAGATTTTAGTTCACTTTGAAATGAAAGAAGATTTTTTTTTGTTCCGAATGAAATCGTATGAATGAAGCTACTGCATATTTGTGGCAAACAAAGTAATACAAAGCATGAACACAAATCAGAGAACGAATTTCACAACGAGACGAGATAGTATTTCTCAATAGTTTGCTATTTGGAACAATTTGATTTTGCAATATATTTTTTTTTTCAAACGAATAATTATTGTACACAATTCGATCGATCTCACAAACACACCGAGTTTTTCCATACAATTGTTTGATATCTGTTTAAGTGGTGTGCATCATTTGGCCGATAAAGTTTTTCCTTTGCTTGCACTGTTTTGAAGTACATTATGCATATACCGGAGAAATCTACGGATTTCTAACATCAAACGCACCGTCTTCAATGTTCAATTCATTTGCTGTTTATAACGCGTTTGTTTCTTGTGTTTGTTTGTTTTTTTCTATAAGCAATTTTTTTTTAACTATCGGAAATTTACCGCAATCGTCGTTTTCGCAGACACGTTTGTCAGCACTATTCACAAAATAAAAAACAAATAACCGCAAATAAGAGGAGAAAAAAATCGCCATTGACGTACATATCGAATGAAAGATGTTTAATAAATAAGAAATAGTAAAAGAGGCTCTTTTTACACATTAGCATACTGTCATCATCCGTTTCAGTTCATTATTT